GGAATTCAGATATTTCCTTAGACAATGAGGGCCAAGGGATAATAATCACCAACTACATTTTTACCAGACAGGATTTCCTAGTTTATTAGTCCCTCGTTCATCACCCATCTCACCAGGGAGTTAAAAATATTGCCTGTAGTGATGAGCATGCATTAAATGACCATCCATTGGTTAAGCGTCCATTGGTTAAGCACACATGAGCATGGCATGGATCGGTTTAGAACATCTTAAAGGGTAACGTTCACGACTCTTTTTTTATGAGAGGCTCATTTTTCCTTTAAATGTATATTAAAGATTTAGCAAACAAAATCTTAATCCAATTGAGACTGGGCAAAACTATGGCAAACGTTGCAAATGAAGAGGAAAAATGCAAACATTGTTTAATTTCTCCTCTTCTCTGACTGCTTTCTCCATGCTTGCTGCCAGGTGCAAAGGACAGAGTTTATACCAAGGATTGGACCAGGGAGCTAAAATGGAGGCACTTAGTTGTTGGATAAAGTGGTGTGGGTCACAGTGCAATGTGGATACATTTGTTCATGCTCTGCAAATGAAGAGGAAAAATGCAAACATTGTTTAATTTCTCCTCTTCTCTGACTGCTTTCTCCATGCTTGCTGCCAGGTGCAAAGGACAGAGTTTATACCAAGGATTGGCAGGGAGCTAAAATGGAGGCACTTAGTTGTTGGATAAAGTGGTGTGGGTCACAGTGCAATGTGGATACATTTGTTCATGCTCTGTTAACATTAACATTGCTTACCCAAATCGGTGGTGACCAGAATACTGGTGAAGCATTATGGAGTTGTGGTACTATTGGAAAACCAAACCAGATCATGACTACATATCCCTAATATATATATTGGATTAGTGTTGAAATGCCCTATCACCCTCAGCCACCGGCAGGATGGGTATGTAGCAGATGAAAACTGACACCGTGGGGAAAAGGCCTTTTTGTTTTCTTTTTTTAGAATTGAAAAACTGAGCAACGTGGCAAAATTTTTGTGTACTTTAATTTCTATGGAAGACACAAAACTCCAATAGCACAAACTGGATGTAAATTCCTACATGAAAGCCATCAATTCACTTGCCTTCTATATCAAAGTGTAAATTAGACAAAACGGGGGAATTTTAGGGGAGGAAATCAGGATTAGCTGGATGTTTAATGTCTGTTCAGACACCTCTAAACTTGGCAAGCAGCCAAGAGACATACTCATTATCATAGTTGTAAAATAAAAACAAATGCCCGCAGAAAAGGAGGAGGCTGTTCGTCCGATGCCAACGAGACAGGCCAAGAAAGAGGCAATTGTATACACACAGAAACATTTGAAACCTATTAATGAGGACTGGTAACGATGTTATATGATTGGCAGGAGGCAGAGAGAGAAGCAAATTCCTCAAAATCCATCAGGAATCCTTGGAAGTATGTTCAAAGCTAAAATTTAAATAGGCTAATGGACAGATATATCATCACTGTACCATATATGTTACATGGGTTCAAATAACATTATAGCTGTCCAATAACTACTTACTATTTAGAACATATAACAATATAACCCAAGTGGTGAAAAGGCTCGAAACTACAACATGGGCTGTACTGTAGCAGCGCTACAGAATGTTTGTTAAGCTTTATATCAGTTAATGAAGTTTAAATATTCAAAAAGTGGTGTTCGCTGCTGCAATAATTACATATATTTATTTATTTTGTATAACTAATTTATTTTTTACATAAATCAACATTATGCTTAGCAGCACAAAAAGGGGAGGTGCTAAATTGTAAAAGGGGAGGAGTTACTAATGGAATGTGCCTGCTGTCCACTGGTTTCCGTGGTGATTGGAGAACTTTTAGTACTTTAGACCACTTTTTGTCACAGCTCCTGGCTCTTCTGCCAGCATGGCTGCACATAAACTAAGCAGCCATGCCGACAGAGATATTTCATACTTACCTTGGTCGCGGCAGATAGCTGCCTGATCTCCCTCCGTTCCGGTCCCCAGCAGGTGCAATGTTCTTAGGAATGCCGGCGGCTGCCATTCGGGTTTTTATAGGAAATTTACCTTTGCCCACATCAAAGATGACGCCAACGTGCGTGTGACGTCACGTCAGAGACACGCATGCACGTTTTGGGGTCAGAGGTCAGAGACAGCCAATAACAGCCAGAAGAGGGTTATTTAAACCCAAATTACCTTTTTTGTCAGTGCCCTATAGTGGTTTCCACTAGCTGGTTATCCGAGAGTGTGTTCCTAATCGTGTTTTTTCTGGTATTTGACTTTGGCTTTGTTTTGACTTCCCTGTTTTCTGGTATCCTTGACTTCTGGCTTTCCTCATCGTTGTGTCTCATTCTGTGTCCCTGACCTCGGCAAGAATTTTGACTATTCTCTGCTATGTTAAAGGACCACTCTAGGCACCCAGACCACTTCAGCTTAATGAAGTGGTCTGGGTGCCAGGTCCTTCTAGGGTTAACCCATTTTTTATAAACATAGCAGTTTCAGAGAAACTGCTATGTTTATGAATGGGTTAAGCCTTCCCCCTAATCCTCTAGTGGCTGTCTCATTGACAGCCACTAGAGGCGCTTGCGTGCTTCTCACTGTGATTTTCACAGTGAGAGCACGCAAGCGTCCATAGGAAAGCATTATAAATGCTATCCTGGTGGATTTCAAAGTGGTTCAAAACGGGGACCCACAAAGTCCTCATGCTGAAATTAGTTCCATAGCAGTCGCAGCTAAGTACCGCTGAGGACCATTCGTGGGTTTGGCTCATGTGAAAGCATTATAAATGCTTTCCTATGCGACGGGCTGAATGCGCGCGCAGCTCTTGCCGCGCGTGCGCATTCAGCCCAGGAGGAGGATCGGAGGAGGAGAGAAGGAGACCTCTCCGCCCAGCGCTGGAAAAAGGTAAGTTTTTAACCCTTTCCCCCTTCCAGAGCCGGGCGGGAGGGGGTCCCTGAGGGTGGGGGCACCCTCAGGGCACTATAGTGCCAGGAAAACGAGTATGTTTTCCTGGCACTATAGTGGTCCTTTAAGTGCGTCCATTCTAAGGTCCGGTTAGACGTTATCCTTAGTCCTAGGTGTAATACTATTCTGCGTGCTGGATCAACTATAATCCTGACACTTTTTTTAAGAAGAGCTAGATAAATCTGCTCCGCAGTGGTTACCATTGGCAAAACTTTGCTAATCTATCTAAAAGTCATATTATCTACATACTTCAGAGAAGAAGATATGGCATGGGAGGGAGGACAAATCCATTTTTTTTTTTTTTTTTATGAATAACTGAAAATTTTCTTTTGGTCTTAAAAGAACACCAAATTGATTATATTAATCTACTGTGAAACGCATTCATATTTCTTATTTAGTATATTGTTGATTATGAATAGTATTGTGCGTGATCCTATTATGGATGACTTATATATGATGACAATATTGAAATATCCACACATACATGCACACATGTTGTATATTTCAATATTTTCATGCTTCAGCATGAGTATGAATACCCAAGTATAGGTAGTGACAAATTTGCCCAAGTGACTCTCTAACAGGAGATGCTGTCCAAAGGACAAGGTCTACCTCAAAGTAGTAACACTTCTTTCTCCAGGCCAGATCCTCCAGACTGGTGGAAAAGTCTGGTGATTAACAAATGGTAAGTGAGGATGAGAACTTACAAGATAATCAATAATAGTAAAAGGAGTGATAGGCTCCCGATTAAAACTAAAAGGATTGGTAGGTATCTGAGGAAAGTAAAAGGATTGGTAGGTATATGAAGGAAGTAAAAGGATTAGCAGGTATATGAACAAAGTAAAAGTGTTCGTAGATATCCAAGGAAGGTCACAAATATACCTCAGCTTTATTCTTCAGCCTGTCCAGGATCACAGCAGTTAAGTTCAGAAGAATTAGTTATGCTAGGGATTAAAATGTCAGGAACTAAAGTATAAGTAAGAATGAAGGCTTGCAGAATTCAGCCACACTCAAATTTAAGAGAAAAATAAGAGTACACACATGGACTTTAGAAACTTACGACAATGGAAACAAATTTTTAGATGTCACATTGGTTTGAGCGAAGGCTATTTTCTATTCTTCAGCAAAAGGTAACAAATAGTTTAAGTTACTGTCTGTCTTTGGTCAGAGTGACAGAGCTATTCTCTGGTCTGTTTCCTATTTAATTCCTTGGTGATAAGTCCACTTTCCAATGGTCATATTTATGGATGCAGGTTAGTGACAGTTTCAGCTTTTGTGATAACTTTCACTGTAGTGAAAACCCATTTTAGACCCCAAGGTCAGCTGATAATGTAATAATAGTATAAATTATATAACAAACAGAAATGTGTACAACATGGTGTTTCAATACTGGAGGAATGATTAGAATTTTGGAAATGTATGAGAGATCTAGTTCAAAATAGTTTAGTTTCCAAATTACATTGTTTGCTCAAATGGAAATATGGATTGATTTCTATTTTTAAAGGAGCAGTCAAATAAACAATGAATATTTTTCTTATTTTTATTTTTCATCAATTAAAATCTATGAATATTAAACGCACTGTCTACAGCTAATTCATTAAAACACTGGAAAAACAATTAATTAAAAATAGTAAAAAAAGAAACCCTGATTCTTGAAGATGCTGTATTTTCTGTATTTCGCCAAGCAAAACACAGCAGGGGTTCCTGGGAGTTGTAGTTCAATTTTCAGCTTTCTGTTGTAGAAAATGTAAAGCTGAACAAATGTTCATAAGATATTTCACACAGAACAAGTTTGTTGATCCGCACTCTTAGGGAATCATCAAAAAATACATCAGGATAAAATCGTAGAATAAAATGCACATTTATTGAAGTCAAAAAAGAAAATACATATGGCAAGATACTAGAACAGCAGTCCTCATGTATGTATGCTACATAGGTCCAAGCATGTGAAAATGAAAAAAAGGTTGTGAGTGAACAAAGTATAAAAAGTTTAAAACCTGAGCATGGGACCACCCGCAGCTGCTGTATAGGGGAGAGACCACCAAAGAAGCCGACCCTAAAGAAAGATTAGATAAGCCCTGGACGCATTTCGCACCACTCCGGGTGCTTTCTCAACAGTTGAGAAAGCAGTTGAGAAAGCACCCGGAGTGATGTGAAACACATCTAGGGCTTCTCTAATCTTTCTTTAGGGTTGGCTTCTTTGGTGGTACTTTGTTCACTCACAACCTTTTTTTAATTTTCACATGCCTGGACCTATATAGTATACATGAGGACTGCTGTTTTAGTATCTTGCCATATGTATCTTCTTTTTGGACTTTAATAAATGTGCATTTTTTTTTCTACGATTTTATCCTGATGTATTTTTGGGGATTTCCTATGAGTGTGGTCAACAAACTTGTCCTGTGTGAAATCATTTGATTACTGGGAGGATTCCAGCACCGAGAAGGTAACCCTGTTATTGCACCAATTGAACTACCATAAGTATGATGAAAACCAGTAAAGTATATCTATGCTTATTTAATTTTGGACTTGCAGCTACATGTTTTCCGTGAGTGAGGGATTTTCTTCACTTACTTTTCTGTCTTTTTACTACTAACGTTCCCAGAAACTTTGGCTGATATCATTCATGGTTGTATTCTCAGGAGTGTATAACAGAAAGGGAGGGCTCTAGAACTAAAAAAAAAAAACCTAGGAAAATATTATGAGATGAGGAATATGATGTTGTATAAAAATTGGGCAATGGAATGATGAGTGGTAGATTTTATGAAAAATGGAGATGCCATAGAAGAAATTATGAAAATATTGATTTAAAGAGGAGGGAAGAAGGCATAAGGAATTTGGATGGAATGAAGGGTGGTGAGATGGAAAGAGAGAGAGATGAGGGGAGTTGGTTTTAAAGAAAATGGAGAAGATGAGGCTGGACTGGCTAAAATTGCACAATAACACTTTATGTGGTGACTTGACATGCAGATTCAAAAAAATGCAGTCTTCACTGCACTGATCTCATTAATGAAAGCAGAGCTACATATCACTTGATTGTTCATTAAACCAACAATACATAATGAGTTACAATGGGTTCTGGAGAGAAAAGAACATTAGACAAAACCAGCTACGGAAATTTAACTAATCATTGCAAAATTTACAACCAAGATGGACACTGTGTGACCTGAGGGTATGTCTTAATGGATATACGGATATAGAGAAGCTAATGATAGTTTCTGTTTGAAACCACTTAATGTTGATATCAAATAACACACTGAGGAGGTCAGTCTATAAAGTCATGTATACATGTCCCACACCAATAAATAATCTATCTTCATGCATTCTGATTCTGAAGAATTTAAAGGAAACCTTTTACTGTGTGTTACATGGGGGCCTCTGAGAGTCTCTCACCAACCCATCCCCTATCTCTTGTCTGGGGGCTCATTCATCTATCAGTTACTCAGTAACTCAAAGATAAATAGTGTTTCTTTGGCACAAGTATGTTATTATTCATTACTGTTTAATATTATAATCTAAAGCACATGCTCCCGGTCTCTCCTGCTGCAGTCTTGCTGAATACGCACCTTTTGAGCAACTGTGACTATCACAGGAAATGGTATATTTGAGACCTGATTTCCCAAAAGGCACAATAATAACCCTGGAGGCAAAAAGCTTTAGATAGACTCTGTTGTAGCAATAAACAACAGCTATTGAAACATAAAGCCTTGCATCATGCACTAATCACAAATTGCCCTTTCATAGAAAGGTGTTTACAGGGTTATTCACAAAAATAAAATTCAAAGTGAATTTCAAATTTAAAGTCAAAGTAGCCAAACTGGAAAAATTCTCTTAGATAGCAATGCTTTTCGTTTGGCTATTCTGGCCCTAAATTTGAGATTAACTTTGGATTCTCACCTTAGTAAACCCTGCATTATTATTATTATTAATATTATTATTATTATTGGCATTTATATAGCGCCAACAGATTCTGTAGCGCTTTACAATATTATAAGAGGTGGGATTTAACTATAAATAGGACAATTACAAGAAAAACAAAACAAAAAAAGCAACTTACAGGAGTGATAGGTTGAAGAGGATCCTGCTCAAACAAGCTTACAGTCTATATGAGGTGGGGTGTAAACACATTAGGACAGGAAATAGCAATCAAATAAGGTGGGAGTGAAGCAGAGCTGGAGGAGAGAGTAAAGTGCTGCCCTTTAGGGGAGAGCAAGAGACAGGTATACCCCTTTTCTTTTATTTGTGGGAAACAAGTGTGAAGGATGGTATGGAAATTGTGCAACCACAAATTTATATTGTGTGGAGGAAATACAAAGTTACAGGAACTAAGGAAGAATCTTGTTACGTATTGAATCCTTATATGGAAACAGGGATACCGGATTTCTCAAACTGTCAAAGTCTCTACCTTGACATATAGTAAGCCAGCGTTAGGAGACCAACAATGAGGTCTGAAAATCAAATTTGACTTGGTGTTAATTGACTATATAAAACAACATTTAATTATAAAATATATTTTGGGAACAGGAGGACTACAAGAGAATTGTAGACAAATTTGTTAATATGTCAGAATATTTGTAAATGTCAATTGACTGCAAGTTGCTTTTGCAGCATAATAAAAATAAATAATATATAACGATCAGTGTCCACAGGACTGTGAAAACAAGAGTGGGACAGGGCCCTGGGGACCCCCACTATTTATCAGCATCCCTTTACTTTCTGTAAAGTGAGTGAGAGAATAGGAATACGCCTGGGCTATTAAAGGGTCTCTCCAATGTTAACTTGTAAATAAACACATGTAGCCACATATTTTCACTTGATTATCAGGAAATCACTTGGAATGCTTGCTTTTTGTTTAGTTTGGGTGATACATATTGTGATCCACTTTCATCTTCTTTTTTAAAGGACCACTATAGGCACCCAGACCACTTCAGCTTAATGAAGTGGTCTGGGTGCCTGGTCCATCTAGGATTAACCCTGCCTGCTCTAAGCATAGCAGTTTCAGAGAAAATGCTATGTTTACCTATGGGTTAATCCAGCCTCTAGTGACTGTCTCATTGACAGCCTCTAGAGGCGCTTCCGCGCTTTTCACTGTGATTTTCACAGTGAGAAGACGCCAGCGTCCATAAGAAAGCATTGAGAATGCCTTCCTATGAGACTGGCTGAATGCGCGCGCGGCTCTTGCCACGCATACGCATTCAGCCAATGACATCAAAATAGGGAGGAGAGTCCTAGCGCAGAGGGAGCCCAGAGCTGGAAAAAAGGTGAGTGTTTAACCCCTTCCTCTTCCTTCAGCCCGGTGGGAGTGGGACCTGAGGGTTTGTTTTTCTGGCACTATAGTGGTCCTTTAATATTATATATATTACAAATTCTGATTCTGAGTTTCCTTATAATGATCTCATTTGTGACCATATGTAATCATATGCAGTTCGTTTAAACTATTTATGTTTATCACTATGCCAGTTGAGAAAAAACATCCTGATATTTATTATATGTTGAATTTGCTGTAGCAACTCAAAGCAATTTGGAGGCTTTGATTAAAAGGAAATTCAGTCCATTTATGATTATCCAAATTGTGTGCAAACAAGTCCACCCACTCTATTACGCTAAACCACATTCCCCTGCACATGGTGTTTAGCACTAGAGAACTGTAACTACACAGTCCCCTTCTGCTTAAAATGGGTCGTGGCCGGGTTCTGACCCTATCCAACTGCTTAAAATGGGTCCTGGGGTTCGCAATCTATCCAGCTTTATTGGATGTGGGAAGGATCAGATAGAATGCCATGTGCTCCTTAATTCCGAGTTATCAATCTCCACCCCAGCTTGCATTGTTGAGAGAATGCAGGGACATTTCATGCCCACTCCTCATAGGTAAAGCACCACTCTAAGCACTAAAAAAACTTGTCTGCAATAACTGTCATAACCAACCTTCGAATATGTACCTATGCCCCCTGAATAACCATGCCCCTAAATAATGAGACTGACAACTTTCATGTTGGATAGAGTCACAGCTTTATTTAACTGCACAACTTGCCAGCAACCATAAAAAACAACAAACTGTCAGCTGTAGGGTGAGTACCAGCAGACAGATAAACATTTACTTTAACCAGAGTCCACTGCAGTCCTTTAGTGTCCATGCAGACCACGACTCTCTAAGTTGACCTTATAAATTTGCTGAGATGGCAAGGGCACTATCACCACAACGGTGTCTTCAATTAATTGGAACGACCATTGCGCCCCCCACTGCAGCTAGCACCATTTCAATGCCAGACTGCAACCCCAGGAAAAATATGCAGAGCCAGTCAAATTCAAATGTACCCCATCAGGTAGCATGAGGTTGGAATTATTGCTCTCCAATTCTCTGTGACATATAGAATAACTCCGAATCCTCCTAATACACTGAACTAGGAGCATTTTTTGATCAAATCATGGTCACTTCACTAAATAGGCATGACAGCGGGCCAAATAGTATTTGGTCCTCCGTATCAAATCAATTGTGTGCATAGTACCAGGGTCTTCACCAGCTACATGTATTAAAAAAGTAACAAAACCTGACACAAACCTCTTTAATGCTACGCACTCTGGATACATTTGCCTCTATCTCAACCCCCTGATTCCCCTCCAAAGAATTCAAACAGACTCATGGGGAAGGTCCAAATGACTCCCGTAAGAACACTTCTCCACTTGGCAAGTGGCCCAGTAAATAAAATAAAATAAATAAGTATCCAAATAAAATGAAGGGAACAACGTACAAGGTAAAAAATACATCATAGATTTTATAACAAGTGAGGACACAGATATAAATGAAAACACAGAGAACGCCACCTACCAAGACGGGGCACTAATGCCTCTGCGAACCCCACTGACAGGCCTGGGTAGCCGCACCTATGCAGAAAGAATGTATGGAGTACACTGCTGGGATGATCACTAAACTAACCAAGCAAGACCTGAGAACCTGAGAAAATTAAAAGTGAGAGGGGACCAGTCCTGATGAAGTAACAAAGATCCCAAAGACCCAGCCCTAACAGGTTAAAAAGGACCTGGTTATGAAACCTATTGTGCTCAGAGACCTGTGAGTCTCAACTACTATTACTTCTTTAGAGATCTGCGCATCTCAAAATCTCAAACGAGACTCTAAACGATTGAAACCTGCGTGTTTCGCACTGCTCATAACCTAACTGCGAATTGTTTAC